GAAGGCTGAGGCAGGAGGATAGCTGTGAGTTTGAGATCAGCCTGGGCTACAAAGTGAGCTCAAGACCAGCCTGAACTGCACAGCAAGACCATGTGTCAAAACATACATACATACATACATACATACATACATACATACATAGGTATATGGGCCGGAGAGATAACTTAGTACAAAAGCTTGTAGTTCAATCACCAGTACAACAAAAAAATGTATTTAGTGGTGGTGCACACCTGTAATCCCAGCTCCTTTGGAGGCTAAGGCAAAATGATCACAAGTTCAAGGCCAGCGTGCATACCTTTAGCAAGACCCTGTCTCAAAATTAAAAATGTAAAGGGTGGGGGATGTAGGACAGTGGCAAAGTCCCCCTGGGTTCAATTCCTAGTACCAGGAAAAAAATGAAAGGAAGGAAGGAAAGAAGGAAGGAAGGAAGGAAGGAAGGAAGGAAGGAAGGAAGGAAGGAAAGAAGGCAGGCAGGCAGGCGGGCGGGTGGGCAGGAGGAAAAAATGGAGAAGGAAAGACAATGAAGGGGATAAAGAGGGAAAAAAGGCAAGCTGGCTAACTGAACCTACCAGAAACAATAGACCCAACAGCCAGAACAGTAAGGGTAAGTCAAATGCCAGGATAACAGATCTTTCAAAATATACTCTGTGGGGCTAGGGAGATAGCTGAGAGGCATAAATACTTGCCTAGCAAGAACAAGGTCCTTAGTTTTATCCCTGTACCAAAATACATACATACATACATACATACATACATACTCTGTGTAACCCAAAGATTCAAAGAATCCCAGTCAATATCTATTTTATTCCTAATACATCTTGGATGATTCTGTAGACTTCTTTATAAAAGATGTATTTTCTACTATTCACTTTTCAATCCTCTTGTTACCACTACACTCTACATTCTGGATGACCAAGCTGGCTGGCACTGGTTTGTAAGTCATTTCCTGACCTCTATCTTGAGCTCAGAACTTGAGGACAGAGGCTAGGAGTGATCACCGGCCCTGCATGCCGTACCAGCCCAGAACCAGGTGTGGCGTTGCACGCCTGCAAACCCAACACTTGAGAGGCTGAGATAGGAGGACTGCTGTGAGTTTGAGACCAGACTGGGGAATATAAAAATGAGCACAAGGCCAGCCTGAACTGCACAGCACGACCCTGTCTCAAAAAAACAAAAAAGAACCTATGAGCATAGATTATTTGAAGGATGAAAAAAATCTCGAGGGATTAGAAAGGGGATTTATAAAATTTATTTCCTTTTCGGAAGCAAAAGTACTCAGGAACCCTCAAATCTTCCCATTCTACTCAAGCAGCCCCAGAGCTTACTGCTTCTGCTTCATCTATAACTGGCCAAACACTCTACCTGAGCCATCTGCTATGGCCAGAGACTTAGTTGAAGGATTAGAGCTCATAGATTTGAGAGTTAATGTACACCTACGTGTTGAGCATGATTTTGCACAGCAACATGTACTTCAGGGATGTGATGGCCTTGGGACTATCAATGGAGTCATAACCCTCAAAAGCCTCGTAGAAGTATGAGTATGCAGTTTTCCAATCCTTTTCCTCTGCTGCATGGATGATACCTAGACATTTAAGAGAAGAAATAAAAACCATATAAAATTATAGAACTATAAAACACTGGATCTCTCTCTCCACTTGTTGCTTTTTGTTTTCTGCCTCTATGAACTATTGCCCCTCTGCCATAACACTCTGCCTTGAAGCCAGCCAACTATGGACTACAACCTCTACAAACTGAGCAAACTATGAGCTAGCTTTTCCCTCTTTAAAATAAATAAAAGGGGCCGGGGAGATGGCTCAGTAGAATAAGCACTTGCCTGGCAAGCACAAGGGCCTGTGTTCAATCCCCGGTTCCGCCAAAAAATAAAATAAAATAAATACAAAGACTGGAGCCATAAAGGGCCTTAGAAATCTACCCCAACCATTTCAGTTTATTGATGAGATCAAATGAGAATAAAAGGGCTGGGCAGATGGCTCAGTAGAATAAGCGCTTGCCTGGCAAACACAAGGGCCTGAGTTCAATCCCCAGTTCCGCAAAAAAAAAAAAAAGAGAGAGACTAAAGCTACCCAAAGTCACAGCCACGCAGTGAGAACTGAGATTAGTAAGGTCACCCAGTTCTCTGGCTTCTCAGCTCAATGCCAAATTGCCAGGTTAAAATCCCAAACATATTAAGACACCCAACTCAAAGGGGACCCTAAAATCTGCATAGTGTGCTGTTCTTCCATGCTCCTTACCAACAACATCTTAGTCCAGATACAGTATCTTTGGAGTGACTAGAAAGTCATGTGTAAGCTTTGATACTATCACCTCAAGTAATGATCCAAAATTCCCAGGCCAAGACAGCTCAGTGGCGTAAACACTTGCTTGTCAAGTTCAAGGTTCTGAGTGGATCCCTGGTACTAAAATTCCCAGGCCACTGGGATTAGATGTGTTCATAACATCAACTAACATCAACACCACTTTCATATTGAAGCAGCTCTGATGAGAAAGGAAACAACCCAACATCTTTCATCTTCATTATGAATACTTTTCATTTATTATTATTTACTTATTATTTTTTTTTTTAATGTATTTGGTTGTTACAGGGTCTCACTATGCAGCTCAGACTCATAATTATCCTCCTATTTTCAGCCTCCCCAGTGCTGGGATCACAGGCATGCACCACCACACCCAAACTCTGTGGTCAGCTGAGCCTGCCCTGGGGGCAGGGTTGGCACTGCATGTAGTGCTGGGAATCAAACCTCAGTCCCAGGGCTTGCCTAAGCTTGCCTAATCAGGCGCTTTAGTCTGCTGAGCTATCTCACCAGCCCAGTTCTCATTTAGGAATGTGCTCTTTTTTGGATGCAATCAGGTAGAGATCTCACATAATGCCAAATCCATAAATCTAGCTGTATACAGCTAAGCAGTACCTCACCTCACCAATCCTCTACTGTTAACAAGTTGGGTTGCCCCCAATAAGCTTAGCTGATTGAACCTGCTATTATTTCCAACTTATGCCATGACATAAGAGAACACAAAAATGTGTCCTTTCTGTGTTTAAAAGCATCTGAACTAAGCTTCCACATATTGGTTCTAATGCTGCCCCGGCCCCTCATGAACTGCCCCCATTTGTTTAACACATAGTCTTCTGCCGTGTTCACAGCAAGGCACATACAGAAGATGCTTAGTGCACTGCAGTGAGAGGATGAAGCTGCCTGCACGTGCTCCCTAAAGAATCCATGTCTTAGGCCACCATTAGTCCATCCATAGTAAACCTGTGGTGAAGGGTATTCTAGCTAGGAACTTCTAACCACTTTCTAAGTTAAACCCTCCCACCTTGAGGCTGGAAAAAAATCAAATCCTTTCTCTACTACTGTTCTTAGCTTGAGAAGCCTAAAAGAAAACCTGTTTTTCTCTACAGCCAAGGAAAGCATCCTCAAAAACCAAACCATGAATACTGCCAAACTAAATCAGATACACTCCATTTCCCCATACCTCCTTCCACATACCTCCCAGTACAGAGAAAGGGTAGAACACACCCAAAATAAGCTTGGGTGAAAAATAAATAAATAAGAAAGGCAAGATAAGACCAAAGAGCAGGTATACTTCCTAAAACATTTTAGCAAATATGAGTCACATTAGCAGTAGAACTCTTATGGTTGGCACAGGGCATTAAACTAAGCCGAGCATGCAATGCCTCTCTGTAACCCCAGCACTTGACAAGCTATTACAGGAGGATCACAATTTTGGGGCCGGGGAGATGGCTCAGTGGAATAAGTGCTTCCCTGCAAGGGCAAGGGCCTGAGTTCAAGCCCCAGTTCCACCAAAAAAAAAAAGGCCAGTCTAGGCTACATAAAGAGACCCTGTCTCAAAAAACCTAAGAAAACCAAACCGGGGGAAACAAGCAAACAAACAAACAAACCTGTCACTCATTCAACACAAAGATTGAGAGCATGCCATGTGCCAAATGCTGAGACAACTACTATAGAGGACATACACATAGATAAAGCCCTCAAAAAGTTCACATTCAGATGAGTAAGACGGTTACTGAAACAGAAATGAGATCAATACCATAATGTGTACAAAAGAATATAATTTGGGGCTGAACTGGGGATACAACTCAGTGACAAGAGCACTTGCCTACTGTGTGCAAGGTACTGGGTTTGAAAGATCCAGAAAAGAAAAGGAAAGAAGAAAAACTATGGAATTCTGGTGGGGAAGTTCAAAATTAAAGAGGATACAAAGCATAGTGATAGTATGTGCACCCATGCTTATAGTTACATCTTGGAAATAATCCAAATGCCCATTAACAAAGGAATGGATTAAAAAAAAAAAGTTTTTTTATACAATGGAGTACTGACTACTCAGCCACAAAGAAAGATAAACTAGAGATTTTCATAGGTAAAGGGGTGCAACTTGAGACAATACTCGTAAGTAAGCTAAAATCAGACTCACATGTGCAAACACAGTATTGTCTCTCTAGTGTGAAAGGCTGAAAGTAAGACCCAAAATGGGGCCAGCAAGATAGGTCAGTGGACTAAGTGCTGGCTTAGACAAACACAGGGACCAGGGTTCAATTCCCGGCACCACATGCCCCACATGGTGCACCAGCCCAGCCCCTGGGTGCACTGAGTTGGCTACCAAGACCCAGCATGGTGGGCACACACCTATAATCCCAGTGCTGGGGAGGCTGAAAACAGGAGGATCACTACAAGTCCGAGCTGCACAGTGAGACCCTGTACACCAAATACATTAAAAAAAAAAAAAAAAAAAAGTACAACAGATATTGTAAAATGGGAAGAAGCTGTTCAAAAGGAAAGAGAAAAGAAGGGGAAAGGAAAAAAGGAAAAGCAAAACAAAACATTAAGTAAATAAATATATTGCCAGAGATACAGCTCAATGGCACAGTGCCTGCCTGGCAAGCTGAAAGACAAGACCAGACCAGACAGACAGAAAGACAGAGTAGAGATATAGTATATTACACACATATACAAGATAATTACACTACTAATTTCTCTCTTTTTTTTTGGGGGGGGGGCCCACTGGGAATCAAAATCAAGGACCTTGCACTTGCCAGGCAGGCACTTATGCCACTGAGCCACATGTCCAGCCCTCTCCTCGTTCACTGAAAAGATTTGTGCTAAGATTGTTTGGAAAATTAAATTCTTATATCTTGTACTCTGAGTCATGTATTAACTATCATTACCATCCTGTTATCTTGGGTTTTGGGGGTTGGGCGAGTGGTTCAGGGAATCTGAACTCTAGATCTCATGCTTGCCAGGCAGGCTCTGTGCTACTGAGCTATATCCCCGGCCCTATTATCTTATTTCAAAATTTTATATTTTATTCTTTAAAATGAAGAAGAAGGTACAGCACCTGCCATGCTCCCAGGGTGCACTGAGATGGCAACTGAGACTGGGCACGGTGGCGCAAGCCTGTAATCCCAGCTCTTGGGAGGCTGTAAACAGGCAGATCACTACAAGTTCGATCTAGTAGTGAGACCCTAAACACTGTGTACACCCTTCCCTAAAACAAACAAACAAAAAAAAAGAAGCACAATCACAGTCAACCACTTAACAGTTTACCCTAAGGCAGTGCATCTTGTTCATGTACTATCCTGAGTGTCACTTGGGCAGGTATCATTTCAATTTCTTATTTATGCAAGATACATTCTTTTGTCTGTCTTTTATTGCTGTTACTATTTTCTTTTTGTACAGTGTCTCGCAATGCAGTTCAGGCCTTGAACTCAAGCTGATTCTCTTGCCTCAGCCTCCCAAGTGCTGCGATTACACGTGTGAGCCACCACACTGGGTGAATAACCTTTTTTATGACCACTCTTTTTATTTAGAACACTATATTCATTTTGTGTGTCTTTGAGACTATGTAGTTCAGGCTAGCCTTGAACTTGCGACAACCTTCCTGCTTCAGCCTCCAGTGTGCTAGGATTTTGGCTGTGAGTCACCGTGTCCAGCCTGTACTCATCACTGATATTTGTTTCTAATGAAATCTAATAAGAACTTCTGGTTACTTTTTTTCTCTTTTTTTGTGGAACTGGGAATTGAACTCAGGCCCTTGAGCTTGCCAGGGAAGCGCTTATTCTACTGAGCCATCTCCCCGGCCCCCTGGTTATTTTCTTTTACTAATTCTTGGCTGTTTTTGTGTGCACGGGAGAAATAACCTATACTTTTGTGCTACAATGTATAAAACTATTGCCTTAAGTACATTAAATATAATCTTTATACTTCAGAACTCATTCAAGATGGGCATGTTAGCACACGCCTATAATTCCAGCACTCAGGAAGCTGAGGCAGGAGAATCGCTGCAAGTCCAAGTGTGGGATATAAAGTGAGCTCAAGACCAGCCTCAACTTCATAGCGAGACCCTGTCTCAAAAGACCAAAAAGAAAAGAAAAGTCATTCAATACAAAAAAGTTCTATCAATTGCATTAATAGTGTTGACCAATATCAAACAAGCTATTCTATAATCAAAAAATGAGGGAAAAAATATTATAAAATACTATGTACCTTTTGGACCAAACAATATGGAACTTGCTATTTGTTTCAAAACAAAGGGGTTCAAAAAGGTATTCACAATTTAGATTAGGTCAATAGACCAAATAACTGAAAAATACAGGACAGCGAAACACCAACTAGGACATCTATTATGGACATCTCCAATATTACATTCAGTGGGTTGGCATCTTATTGAAATGATACCTCCCATAGAAAAAAAAAAGGAAAGGTCAATACGACAGTGCAAAGTGTATTGTTCAAAGAAAGACAATGCAAAGTGAATTCAGGATGATTTAATGTTTAATGCTGAATTGTATATTGAATGTTCTAAGATACAGTGGTCCCTCACTTATGTTCCAGACACCCCTGCAATAAGTGAAAATCAGTGTAGTGACATTCTATTTATTATACTATTTATATATTTTTAGGGCTTTATATACCCTCCCCACACTTATAAATCTTTACCACACTTTTAAAAACACTTCTAAAGTTCTTAACCATTTTCTAAACTCATAAACCTACATAATTTTAACAATACACATATACTGTTTGGTACTGCAAAATCCCCGTAATATAGCAAAAAATCTGCCATAATTTATTTTTTATTTTTTTATTTAGTACAGGGTCTACAGGGTCTCACTACACAAATCAGACTTATAGTGATCCTCCTGTTTTCAGCCTCCCAAGCACTGGGATTATGGGCATGCGCCACTATACCCAGTCTCAGTGGCAGGCTCAGCATGACCGGCAGCACAACAGGGATCAAACTTCGGTCCCTGTGCCTGTCTAAGCTGGTGCTTTAGTCTGCTGAGCTATCTGCCCAGCCCTTAGATTAA